TGCGGCAGCGATACCACTAACTCCTGAGATGGTGGATGGTGAGATTTCAAGTTGATTGGAGAGAAAGAACGAAACCTTATCTGTAAAGATGAATAAACTATATTTAGTAAGGGTGAGTTTGGATTATTACTTAAAAATGAAAGAAGATATTTAGAGAGAAGAATGAGAGTAAATGGTGGGTTTGTGTTGTTTATCCCTGAATTTCCCCTTCAATCAAAACTCCCAGTTTTCTCTCTCTCTCTCTCTCTACTATGTGTGTGTATATATAATGAGATAACATTAGGCTCCATATTCTTCTTCTTCTTTCTTTCTTCCTTCCGGCTTTTTGAAGAATAATACATCTGTTTCTTCTTCTTGTAATCAAATTCTGCTTTATTCTAATTCATGGGTGTTAAAAGGAACATGTTTTGGGGTATAATTCTTGTTTTTTTTGTTTTAATTTTCGTTTTACAGGACTCATCTATGGAACCCAATTAAGAAGAACCAAAAGGGACCTCCATTCTTCTCTATTTCCGTGGGTTTTAGATTGATTGCTCTGTCCGGTTGTTCTGGGCTTTCCCTTTAGCTTATTTTTGTTGGGGGAAAAAAAAGGTTTTTTTTTTTTTTTTCACTTGTGTGTACGGCGGAACTGACAAATTCTCTGTAAACACCGCCGACACCGCTGCCGCCGCCGCCGCTTTTGATTACGATGGCGACGTACTTTCACGGTGGTTCAGAAATCCAAGCCAATTCTGACGGAACTCACACTCTTTACCTTATGAACCCAAACTACGTACCTTACTCTGACACCCACTCTCAAACGCCACCCAGTATGCTCTTTCTCAACCCTTCTGGACACGCGCATAACCCTTCCACTCTCCCTCACGCGCCGCCTTCTAACAACCACTTCGTCGGAATTCCACTCTCCACCACCGACGCTCCACGTCCATCCTACGCTTCTCAATCCGCTCACGAAATCTCAGCCCTCCATCCTATGCCATCTCAGCGTCTCCACTACAATCTATGGGCTCCTATGGATCAACAAACCCACCACGGAATCTCCACCGTGTCGGCCACCACCGACTCTACCGATTTGTGCTTCCGCCGTCCGACGACACAACAGGGTTTGTCCTTGAGCCTCTCCTCCCAACAGTCGCTTTACCGGACGCTATCAGCGGAGCAGGAGATTCAAGGAGGCGGCGGCGCTCCGGCAATCTCGCCGACGAGTGGGGATGATATTCGGGTGTCGGGAAATTCGCCGACGTCGGTGTCGGTGGTGTCAAGTGGAATTACGGGGGTTCAAAGTGTGATATTGGGATCCAAATACTTGAAAGCGGCACAAGAACTTTTGGATGAAGTGGTTAATGTTGGGAAAGGAAATTATAAAACCGACAAAGGGGATGGGACAAAGGACAAGATGAAGATGAAGAAAGAATCAACGGCTGCGATTGGAGGAGCGCCCTCCGGCGGTGGTGAAACCACTTCCAAGCCTGCCGCCGAGCTTAGCACTGCTCAAAGACAAGACCTTCAGATGAAGAAAGCTAAGCTTATTGGAATGCTTGATGAGGTAACCGATTAAACCATTTTGTTCGTATTCAAAATTTATATGCATGCATCATATCATATCATATCAATATCATACCGTAGATATTCATGTCACACCTTTTATTCAATCAAATTTGATGGGGTTTGATATTATTTTATCAAATTCAAGAAACTCTATGTTTCATACTCCATTATAATTAAAATTAATCACATAAAAAGTAGAATAAAAAACAGTATTAGAACGTAGGATTGTCTCATTGAATAATCTTTCACTGTTTATCTGATTTTTGGGTACCCATAGTAAAACCCTTTAAAAGTTATATAAAAATGGGTTAGGAATTGAAATTATGGGTGTAATTAATCTGAAATTGGTTGAATTAGGTGGAGCAGAAGTACAGACAGTACCACCAGCAAATGCAAGCAGTGGTCAATTGCTTCGAGCAGGCGGCAGGGTTGGGGTCAGCCAAGTCCTACGCCTCCCTCGCACTCGAAACCATTTCAAAGCAATTCCGGTGCTTAAAAGACGCAATATGTGCACAAATTAAAGCCACAGGCAAAAGCTTGGGCGAAGAGGATTGGTTGGGTGCCAAAATTGAAGGGTCAAGATTGAGATACGTGGACCATCATCTACGCCAACAAAGAGCTTTACAACAATTGGGTATGATTCAACACAACACTTGGAGACCCCAAAGAGGCTTGCCTGAACGTGCTGTTTCTGTTCTTCGTGCTTGGCTCTTCGAGCATTTCCTTCACCCGTAAGTCATTTTTCGTCTCAACATCTTACCGTTCTTGTTTCGAGAGTTGAAGACTGTTGGGAGGGAATCTCACATGATCATGAGTTTAGTCTTTTGAAGAAGTTCAAAGCAAAGTCAAGTCATGAGAGTTTATGTTCAAACTTGACAATATCATAATATTATAAAGATCCATAATTTCTAATATCTAGAAATTAACTGTTTTTCTCATAATTCCTTAGGTATCCAAAGGATTCAGATAAGATCATCCTCGCAAAACAAACGGGACTCACAAGGAGCCAAGTATGAATGTCCATTACGTTGGAGAATGTTTTAATATCATTTTTTGATAGGAATCTTATAATAATTAATGGCTGCAGGTATCTAATTGGTTCATAAATGCAAGAGTTCGTCTATGGAAGCCAATGGTTGAGGAAATGTACTTGGAGGAAATCAAGGAACAAGAACAAAACGGGGATTCCCACGACATGCTTAGAACCAACAAAAACGAACCCAACAAGCAACATGGCCGCGGAGGAGGAGATCAGAATAATAACAACAATATTAAGGATGATCCTGCACAGTCGAAGACAGAAAATTTGATGAACAACCAAAACAATATCCATGCAAATCCCAAGAAACAAAGGACAACGACCGCCGCAAACAACAACCTGGAAACCCCATCCACAAAAACCATGCTTTTAAGGGATATCGACACAACAAAACACCTTCTTCAAACCACGGCAGAGATGAACATGAATCATCATCATTATCATGGGGGAGGGGGAGGATTTGGTGCGTACCCAGTTGGTGAAATTGGAACAAGGTTCAATTCCGAGCTCCTCACACCAAGATTCCATGGAAATGGCGTCTCTCTCACTCTTGGCCTTCCACATTCGGACACCCAACACAATTACCACTTGGGGAGAAGGCTTGATATCACCAATGGAGGAGGGCCCGATTTCTCCGACATCAATCCCACTCCGCCCCCGCCCCCGCCACCTCATTCTGCCTCGACCGCCTACGACCATGTCGAAATGCAAACCACCAAAAGGTTCGCCGCCCAATTATTGCCTGATTTTGTGGCTTGACGACAATGCAGCTGATGGAATGAATGAATGAGAGTGGAAATATAAAACCATACTTGTCAGTATAGGACCATATAATTTATGTGTATGTATTATTTATACTTCATCCCGAACTTAATTTGTATTATATATAAATTTTCACACACATTTCCACCAATAATTAAGTAGATTTGAAGAACAAATATTAGTGGGGAATACCATTTACTTCATTGTTTTTACTGCTTCGTTTCTTTTAAGGAAAGGGATCGACAAAAACCAAGAGGATGAAACCATGCACGTCCATGCTTGAATCAACTCATATCATCATACTTAAGACATCATTAACAAGTGTTTTAATTTCATCTAATGGGTCTTAACTACTGATGTAAACCCTAATCAATACAAGGTACGAAAATATATGTAATGCTTCATGTATATGATTTTGATGTCCCATTTAGAGGCCGTCTACGTGTTGACATAATTGAAGAAACATTTTGGTAAGACAATGAGTCATTTATATTTATAGATGGTTTGATATGAACGGCATACCACCGGGGTGGGGTGAGTGGATCATCTTTCATTCACACTTTTATTTATTTATTTATTATTATTATTATTTTTACATTTTAGAAAATAAATATGAAAAAGGAAATAAAGAGAATGATAATGAAAAGGAGTTTGTGGGGTTTGTTAATTGAAGGAAGATGGAGTGATAGTTGTTGAGAATTGTTGGGAGGAATCCGGGGTTAGCTAATTAAGGGAATATTATGAATTTACAAGCAAATGAAAATGAATATTATCTCAGTTGTTACGAGATCTTTTAAGAAAATCAAAAGCAAAATCATGATAGACTAATATAATAGCGTAAGCTCACCGCTAGTAGATATTGTCGTAGTGTCGTTCGTCAACTTCATAATTTTACTAGTAAGGGTGAAAGTTCGTGATTCCTAACCGATATTAGATTATGGAAAAGCCGACATAGAGTACTAATAGTAGGGGTGATTAAAGGGATAATAATGTAATTATGGAGTGATAATACGTTGAAACCAAATTAATAATAGAAAGAAAAAGAGATTAGAAGAGAGAGGGTTGAATTTTGTGAGGGTGACCGCTTCTTCCCATTGAATATTGTGGGCTTACTTTGTTCCTTTGCCTTCTTTCTCAAATACATCCTCACATGGAGGAGGGTCACCTCCTTTCCTTTCTTCATAACATCACTCCAACTTTAAACCCACTTATTTTCTACCCATTAAAATTGTTTAGGTTCGAATTTTATCCATCTAACCACTCAAGTCCACTGCTAACAGATATTATCTAGTTTGGTTTTTTACGTATCATCAACAGTTTTACAAAGTTTAAAATGCGTCTACTAGAAAGAGATTTTCACATCTCTATAAAGAATGTTTTGTTCCCTTCTCCAACTAATGTGGTAATTCAATGTCAATTGGATTCACGGTTTGTTCGTGGATCAAAAGTTGGGCCGACATTGGGATTGGGCTGGATGGATTTGAGTGATTTATCAAAATTGGGCCGGCCCATTATTCGATGTATATAAAACTAAGTTTTAAATAAAATTCAAACTAAAATCATTTACTATAAGCAAATTATATTATTTAAATTAATAAATTAGAGCACTTTAATTTACTAAAAAAAAAAAAATTGAAACTCAAAACACTTAGTACGAACAAAACCGAAAATTGTATACCATTCTTTTGAATTGCAAGCAACTTTTGCTCACAAAAATAATCTATGTTTTGAATGTTTGTACAAGACGAGGACGACGATGAGGACGACGAAGAAGAATAATAAGAATCAAGACGATGACGATGGATAAGCCGACGCCAAATGTGGCGGAATACAAGAAGAGTTACTCCAAACCCTAGAATGCAACTTGAGTATATCCCTTGCCTTCTCTCTCGTCTTCGAGCTACAATCCATTTGCAACACCAAACACAGTTTCGCCACAACTCCAACCTCCAACATTTCTTGAACTACCTTTACCGACGCCGAAAACCGACATATCGATGACAATATCCTCACTGCTCGATCGCTTGCCATTGCTGAAACCCTAAGTATTTTCTTCGACACAATCGCAACCCCAGCACCGTGTTCCATCAGCTTCTCTCGTCCCTCCGCGCACCCACACAACTGATCCAAAATCACCAGCCCTATCTCCGACCACCGCCTCTCAGTCGAGTTCAAAAGAAGCTCCACCAACATGCTGACTGCCCCTCCCTCGACCGCTTTCACACGGTTCCTCCCCCAAGGGCACACCTCGGCTAGAACCTTCAACGCGGATTTGGAGGCTTGGTGAGATATATGATCATGTATAACGCGCACAATTTCACTAAGAAGCTCCCTCTCAATGCTCATCAACCGAATTGGATCAGCAAGTTCCAAGCTTGATTTGAGCAACATTATGGCATAGGCTCTCGATTGGCAGTTCCCATTTTTTAGGACAAAAGTAAGAGAGTTTATGAAGTTGCCATCTCCATTTACGAGATTCTTGAGATGGGCTTCCGAGGATTTGATGTGGAACAAAATTTCCACCGCCAATTCAATGGACCCAATGTTCTTCTCACCACCACTCTTAATAACGGCGGCTACAAACTCAAAAGCTCCATCGGATTGAGCCACAAGGGTGCAATTTCTTTCACTCTCCAAGGCAATGGCTTTGAGTGCAAGGAGGCACTTGTGGATGGAATTGGGGAAGTTCTTGGCCTGTTTGAGGATCTTGGTGACATGGGTTTTGTCAATGGGTGACTTGGGAGTTGGAATTCGTTCAACTCCATGAGAGGCGTTGAGGGTGCACCAAGCTTGGATCAAACGGCGAAGGGTGTGGTTTGGGGTTACCAGATCGGGATCGGACAAGGGCTGTTTCGTGATGGGGCAAGTTCTCTTGTTGCATGAGAAGAGCCATTTCTCGATGTTGGATCGGTCGTAGGTAATGCCGGTGGAGATGGTCACCGGATCTCTCATCAATTGGAGGGAAATTGGGCAGAGGAAATAGGAGGGAACTTCAAGATCGCCGCTGCCGTCTTCTTCCATTCTCATATTTCTTCTAACAAGAAAGCTCAAAGGAAAGGGGGGATTGAATAAAAAGATGGGTTTCGGCGTTGGAAATGCTGAAAAGTTTGAATTTTTTTTGAAGGGTTCGTCGGAATTCGTAGCTTAGAAAAAGGAGGGGGATTTAAATGAGGACAAAGTGTTGGCAATTGGCTTAGCCCAAGTTGATGATAACGATAAAGTCAACACACGGAAATTCGAGACACTGAGATGTAAAGTCAACACACGGAAATTTGGGTAAAAATAGGATTAGATTATAAAGAGAAAGATCAAAAGCCATAATAAATAAAGACAAACTTCACCCTTTCCCAACATGTTGGAACAACCAAAAACTGCTCAACCATATCCTTAACCCAATAAAATTCCTCTTTCTCTATAATCCAATTTAGCAAATATAAATACTGTTCATTATATATGACGTCCTTTAAAAAGAGGTTTAAAGTATTTAATTTAAAAATAATAATAATAATAATAATAGTGACAGGATTTAAATAATAAAAAAGTATTGTCAAAAACGATGTCTGAAGGAGCATGGCTGGCGCCAACCGCCCCTGGTGGGGTTATAATTCAACCACGCATTTCATGGCTGATGCATTTAATTCCATAAATCCACATTTATCTAATCCGAAATACTCGCATTCATTGGGTCAACGAAAATGGCTACACATCGGTATTTGTATAAATTAATTACGATTATTTAAGGGTTTCCTTTTACATTGGTATTTAGAGATAATAAATTATGAAATTCAATGCCTAAACAAATTTTAAAATAAAATACTCGAAAAACTCAAGTCAATCCCATCTATTTATATAATAATGACGTGGTTTATTTGAATTGAGTTCATCGTTATTTATCTATCATTCAGATTTGACAATTAGTATTTTAAAAACCATATAATAAAATGTTTTGTAATTTCCTATTTCTAATTAATGCGCATAATAAAATAAATAATTTTTGTAATTGATCAAAAGTTTTTTCTTCCTATAAAAAAAAAAACAAATGAATGGGATCCCAGTTGACGATTATTATTAATTTTGGAAATGTTTCAAAAGTAAACGATTTAATGAGAATTAATATGGTTGAGTAAAACAGTTGTATAAATAGTGTCTTGTCTACGTGGACAGTCCACAGCCATTTTCTTATTTCTGAAACTCAAATAATTAATTGACTTTCAAATTTTAAAATTAAGAAATTAATTTAGGTCCCGGTTGTCGGTCCTCACCTTTCACACTCTTCTTCAAAATTCAAACTCACTCATTAATCATTCATTAATCCTTCCCATTTTTAATGCATATGAAACGAGCAATCACAATGCAATTCTGTTCCATTTCCAATAATGCCCTTTCTTTATCGATCCCAAATCACTGTCCAGATTTGGGCTGTAGATTTCTGGACGTGGGCCGGACCGAAATTTAGAAACGGGCCCAAGAACAAAATAGGGCTATGGGCTGTAGATCTCTGACAATTGTAAAACGGGCCCAAGAACAAAGACATTGGAGCCTGGCCAGGTTTAACGGAGGGCGGGCGGGCGGACAAGGAGCCGACCACTCCGAATCCATCGCACCGGTCGACCCCGGGCTGGACCTCCTGCATCTTTATTTCTAATCAAATTAAGACACCGTAGCTTTAAAGAAAAGTGATTTTCCCTCCCAAGATTTTGTTGGATTTTGGGTCAGACATTTTGTCCTTTTTTCTGTCTTTCTTCGCCCTGTCTAACATTGTTGGTCGGATGTTTTTAAAGAATATATGCTAATCAATCTTTTCCATTCTCATCATCATTTAAACCCCAAAAATTAAAATTAAAATTAATTTTTTTTTTTTTTTTAGAGTACGGACGAAGGGCAGTGGCATCCAATTTGGTGGAGAAGATTGCGAAGATCTCGAATTGGACAGAGACACGACAGCCTTACTTTTATTTATTTCTATTTCCACGTGGAATTTCCGTATTCCTACAAAGTAGCTAAGAATTAGAATTGAACGACGATTTTATCGTTCCACTATCCACGTGGCTGTGACTGTCCATAAAAAAAGAAAAGGCTGAAAGGTATTCAGACTGGAGCGGAGGCCTCGCCATCATGGTGGGCTCAGCTAAAAGGGCCTGGACCACCCGAACCAGGCCATTATCCATACTCTTGGCCTTAGCCTTAAGAGGGAGACCAGATATTCGCGTAAAAATGAGTCGTACACGTGGCGAAGGCTCATTCGTAGAAATAAGAATTCGAAAAATAATATTCTTGATATTCGGCATTTGTTTGGTTTCATTCCATGTTTATAATGTAACGTCCAATCAATGCAATAATGGAAAGCAGAAGGGTTTATGATGGAAATGGGAATAATCACAAACCCCTTTTTATTCAAAAGCAAAATAATTAAATTAATATTATATGCTTGGTTGGTCGAGCATCCTCTTCCATTTCTTTTATTTTTTATTTTTTATTTTTTTATTTTTCCGAAAAGTTTCTTTGTCAGAAACCAGCATCGGTCCCATCGCTTTTGCTGACGTCCGTCAATTTTTTTACCAAATTGTCGTTCCCTTTTAATTTCCTCAACTTTAGGGCCCCCTAACATTATAATTACAACCCCAAGTTATTCCAAAATTTCCATTAATTATAAAATTATTTACATTTTTATAATATGATTTTTCAAAATAAAAAAAGTAACAACACACCCTTCTTTCATAGTACAACCCTTATAGTATGATTTTAAGGGTTGGTATCCATGAATTAAAATGAGCTACACAAATAGAAAAAGGTGGTAGGGTCGGTTTCGTCCTTTTGCATGCCCATTACGACGTCATTTTTTTGCTTATTTATATCTGTGTCTCTACAAGTGGGAATCATACACAGAACCATATACTCCCTTTTCTTTTCTTTTTTATTTATTAAAATTCATAGGGAAAGCATAAAATTAGTCAACAGTTTCACTAATCTTACAGTAATCCATTCGCAAACATGTTAAAATAATGTTAATTAAGGAATTTAGAGTGATTAGTGATTAGGATAAAGATAGTGCAATCCACAGGCGTCCATTGGTGGTTGCCTGCTGCTGCTACCCATCGCAGCAATTGAAGCCACAAGCTTGCACTTTTTATGCACATATTCTTCCAATGCCCCATTTGGACCATCGCATAATTCCTCTTTTCCTAAAAATTATACCGATAAAGTTATTATTATTATTATTATTATTATGGATTCCTCGAGTCAATTACTTTAAATCGATTCATCCAGTTGTAGTGCGTTCTAATTATACTCCCTTAAATTAATATTATGGATTAATGTTTAATTTCCATTTGTTCGGTGAACACGCTTGATTGTTAATTAATTAATTAAGTTGACTTAACAATCAGACAAAACATTAATTATATTCTCTTTTTTCTTTTTTTAATTATGCTTTAATTAATTAAAAATAAATTATATTTGTATATAAGGAAAGAGAATAAAATATTTAAAAAATTATAAATAAATAAAAAGGAAATGGAAATAACTATTATGCATGTTGCAGTGGATTTAGTTGGTTGGGTGAAAGGAGCGTCTGATCTGCGACGGTTTCCGTGTCTTCCTCGGTTTGCGGCAAACCCCACTGGGTTTTTTGTAATATTAAAACGGCTCCAATTGCAAGCTTCACGTTCAACCGTTATCCATTTCCTAAAAATTGCAACTTAATTAATAATAAAATAAGGAAAGAATATACAGTGTATTTAGGAAACCAAATTATAAGGTGAAATGGATGAAGTCAACCTTTATTGTATTCTGTATGCATGGAGCACCAACGTAGGTAGCCCGCATTAATCCTTCCAATCACATTCACCAATAAGCCTTTTATGCATTATGCATGCCCACCACCCCCAAATCTCGAGATTCGTGCTTCTTCAAGACGTATTATTCAAAACTCCATGAATATTTTTTGAAGTCGTATCTAACCTGTCATGATTAATTGTTAACTATTCCTACTTAGATCATATGTTATCAACGTCGTCGTCGTTTCTTATTGTTCCCTAACTTATAATATTGTCTTCCCATGTGTTTTGTATGTTGTTTTTTAAGAGCAATGTCGAAGGTTTGAGCATATATCGTATGTGCCTATGGTGATTCAAATTTGGTTGGCTGACTTACTTAATGACAAGAATAAGTGCTGCATCCAAATTTGTTTGGCCATACCCACTGTTCGTCCGTGCATGTTCAATTGTTGTGACACAACAACGTCGTATCTCATTGTCATCTTGATTCTTGATAACACGATCCGTGCATTGTGATGCCTTTCCATGTCTTGGGACACATCGACCATCTAGGCTTGCTCAAATGCATCGATTGGGAACTGACCCATGTGCCGATCATTGCATTGAGACATCCCGAAGATCCATCCATCTTAATTCTCTTGAGCATCAGACTCACCCATTTATGACATACGTTCCAGTCAGTGGATGCATAATTCAACCTTCGACACATGGGCTGGGTGGCAATACAGGCACACCCACGACGCCCTAGTCCTATTCTTGAAAAATCCATTTCACAAGAAGTCGCTTGAGACACTCATCTCAAAATGCTTGCCCTCACTATGACACACGTATGTGCCACAAGATAGCTTGCTTAGGTCACAGAGTTCAGGATTGGTGGAGAGCTGACACCATGCCTCTTTCTATAGTATATTTTGAGACATTTCCAAACTGGGTGTAGACATGAATTTTTGTGAGAAAACATACGTTGTTGTGGAGCGTTTGACCAATGTCTAATTGACACCAAATTTGGTGGGATTTCATATTTCATATAGACGGACTTGACTCCAAAATCGTATGTCCAAATTCCCTTTGCATCTCGAGGTTAAGGTCTTGGACCCTATCCAGCCCTTAAATAAGCATATCTTGTTTATTTGTGTCTTCTCGTTGTCCTTATCTTTTCATGCCTCATTTCCTCTTCAATATATACGTTATACAGTGTGTTGGATGATGCATCGTCCTCCTCGATTGCATCATGACATTCTTCTATATTGAGGGTCACCATTTTACTTGTCTCAACGTGAGCGTCACAATCTAATTTTTTCATAGTATGGTTGTGACGCTTTCCCCCACTTAAATTAGTCATCATCTTCAATGACTTTTTCGAGATACAATCACATTACCGATCATGACATGGAGCACAACTCCAGCTTCCTTTCCACGAAAGGACAACGTGGGACATTCACAAAATTTCTTGCACAAAAGTTTGTGTTTGGTAGGGATCATATTCCAACAAAACTTCTCCACGTGAAGGTTTTAAATAAGCTTTTCATTACATAATAATAATAATAGTAATTCTTATTATTTTTGTTCGCTTGTAATATTAAAATCCGTAACATCACTCAAAAAGTAAAAATTAAAAAAAAAAAAAAAAAAAAAAAAAAATTTTGTTTTTTANAAAAAAAAAAAAAAAAAAAAAAACAAAATTTTGTTTGAAATAAAATGGTAAATTTGACCGTTACTATACAATCAGTAAGCATTATTGGTTTAAATAAAGAAGTTGGAGGTGGAATTTAATTCCATTAAACTAAAGAAAATAAATAAAAATAAATAAAAAGATAGAAGAAATAGAAATAGAATGGTGGAGGTTTCCATGGTGGCGTAAGGGTATGGCCCCACCGGACGGACATGGTTCCATTTCCCATTTCCAAAGCTGAGTTTTCATTCCCTACAAATACCCTCTTCCCCTTCCCCTCTTTCTCTGCTAAGCCCCATCAGCTTCAGCCTTCACTCAATTCCATCTTCTTCTTCTTCTTCCTCTTCGGACTCTGTTCCAGCTATGAAGACTCTGTTCCATGACTACAAAACCCTTCAAAAACAGGGCATCCTCACCGCTCTCCCTTCCTCGGATCTCCAATTCCCCACACTCCCACCGCCTTCCCTGAGAAGAACCCTCTCCGCCGACATGTCCTCCTCCAAGTGCTTCTCCGCCATCAAGAGGGTTGCTTCTTCCCTAGCATTCTCTCTTCCTCCTTATTCTTCTTCTTCTTCTTCTTCTTCTTCTTCTTCTTCTTCTGAAGACGAACAGGACTGTGACGAAACCTTTGGGTTTTGGGGCTCTGCTCATGAAGAACAGAGGAAGAACAGAACAGAGTGTCAAAAACAGGGGAATAATGATGATGATGATTCCTGGAACTCAATTCTGTTTCAGAACTCTGCTCCCAAATCGCCTGTTGTTCCTTATGTTCATCCTCATCTCCAAAAATCAGCTCACTCTCTCAGTGAAAACAGTCTTCTAATTTGCACTGAGAGTCTTGGATCCGAGACTGGCTCCGATGGCTTCTCTTCCTACCCTTCTTCAGAGTTTGGAGACTTCGACGGAGATACGACGGAAACAGATTACCCCGACATACAGACATTTCAATGGAAGCCCATCAAATTCGGTCGCAAGAAATCGCCGCCGAGGTCTTTTCCCCCGCCGATTTCTTCTCTCTGTTCCCCCGACGGCGCCTCCGTCTGCATTCAGTCCCGCCGGGAAAATGGGCGATTAATTCTCGACGCCGTCTCTGTTCCTTCAAAGAAGAACTTCCGTGCCGATCGTCGAGATGGCCGTCTCGTTCTCTCTTTTGTTACAACTCCGGCGAATTTATTGGTTGAAGAATCGAAAATTGTAGAAGAGAGAGACGATTTGGAAGCCGACGAATCGGAAATCCCGATGGATGAGGTTGCGAGATTGTCGAGCTCTGTTATGAACTTCCATCGATTAGCAATGATGATGAAGAAGCCAAATGGATTCATCAATCGGAATCCAGCATGGCCAAAGCAAAAAGATTCTCCAGAGGCACTAACCCCACTATCACAGTCACTTCCGCCACGTCCTCCGTCGCTCACGGCGGCGACAGCAGCGACTTCTCTGAATGCATACGAGTACTACTGGCGATCGAAACCAACCGGAAAATCGGCCGGAATTCAAAACCTAAAGAGCCAACAACAAATTCAACCCATCCAGAGCATAACCCGCAAATTTATCTCTTCAAACAATCAAATGGCGGATGAGAAACAGCAAATTCTTAACTATTTGGTTCCATTGTCGAATGGATGTAAAATTCCCAGAAGGTCTGTTCTTCTCCGGGAGCCCTGCTGCATTGCCACCACCTAAGCCACCGCCGCCGATGACCGGAAAAACCCATACCCTAATCTCTTTACATATTAATTCTGAATTGTTAAATCTCAGCCATTTCTTTCCTACTCACCCAGAAAAGCAATAACAGAGAGGCTATCGAAGAAGACGATAGAGAATTATCTGAAATTAGCAATTAGAAATTAGAAAAATCTAAAGAAAAGAAAAGAAAAGAAAAGAAAAGAAAATAGTGTACATTACGATCCCATTTAAAAAGTGTCGGCGATCTCTCAAAGCTGAAGAAAATCAGAGGCCGATCTTTGACCCACTGGACTGTCCTGTCCTGTCCTGTCCTGTCTGTTCTTTCTATTTTTTGGCTTCGCTATTATCTAACCAATGGGTTTCATATGCTTCCACTGAATCAATTACTCTTCCATTTTTGCAACATCATAATCTAACGCTGATTTGGGTTGCTCATTCATGGCCTTCAAAATTCCAATAATTACATATTTATTACAATGATGTAAATCTTGTTTTCAAAAATATTTTACAATCATATCAATACATATCTACCATTCTCAAAAGAAAATATGAAAAGATAATGTTTTTGTTGAGGTGGGCACTACAAATTTTGAAAATGTTGACAGAAAACGCAACAAAATCAAAATTGATTTGACAAATTGTTACTTGAGCCCTTTTCAATCAAAGAAACCAGAAAAAATGTTTATAGCAAGTCAATAATTTGGTGAAAAGTATATGAACATGCATGAACAAAAGTTGAAAATAAAAAGATCAAATATAAAAGCAGCGGATTCACAAGCTTCATCCAAATTAAAAGTTTGAGAGTTATTTACCAGGAATATTGAATTTCATGATTAAAAAAGTGGGGAAAAAGCAAATGAAAATGGCATTCACTAATCAAAACTTGGTAGCTCTTGACATGAGAAATTAACAAGTTCCGTCGTCTCCACACAATTACATTGTACAAAGAAACAAAGCAACAACCTCTATGATACAAAGGCCAATCACATAGACGTTTTACCTTCACTACCAAATCACACCCCACCACCATATCTTTGAATTAAAATCTGTCCACTAAAAAGGGGAAAAATAATAGGGACCAAAAAAATTGAAGAATTACCATTGGTGAATGGTAATACCTATAGAAGCAGCAAAAAAAAAGACCCCAAACCATCTATCACAAGTGCTCGAGACCCGATATTGAATGGTACAAGCGTCGATAATACATCTTGTAGCGCATCTAACATTCTAAACATCACTGCCACCAGCAAACTGATTCTCGAACCTATACAATCCATTTGATGGCTTATTGACGGTGTGTGAAAATTGGAACTCCAGCCTTCTTCGTATATCCATTCGAACAACGATCACAAGTTCTGGTACTCGGAGACGGGGCGTGTGTTCTATACATGACACCAGAACTGCCATAGTGGTAGCAGCATGAGACAAGACTCGATATAAATTAAGTGACGTGCCAAACAATGTGCTATATCCATGCAAGGGAACCCCGGTCATTGGCTACTTGAGGGCGGCCTCTAGTTGGTGTTGGAGGTCTGTTGGCATTCAGCTCCTGATCTCATAGAAAACCAATATGAGGGAATCAGTATTGTTGACATGCAAACTTAGGGAAAGAAAATTCATTGTGACTGTGCATATCAGCAGCACCTGCATCCACGTATCTTCTAAATGACGTTCTGGTGATGCCTCTGGGGAAGTCATTGCAGGTGGCAAAGGGTGAATTAGCTTTGGAACAACAACAAGATCTCGTCCAAGAACTAAAATAGCTCCAGCATTATTTGCAGTGCCTGTATGCAAGAACCGAAATTGTATCAGCAAAAATATTCCATATCCCAGAAATAAGATCAAGCAAGAAGAATACCGCAGTAATTTGTGGCCGAGAAAAGTGTAATCAAATGCCCTTGAGCGAAACGTTCAAAACCATCCATGACACATTCATGGGCACGAACTATCAGCTGAAGGTCATTATTGTTGCAAAATTCCATGACACGATCAGGCTGCAGCAACAACAATTCCATATGAGCATTTTACAGTAATGGCCAATCCATTGATTGTACTTGAAAAGTGATTCAATCAACATTTGTTAAAAAAGAGTTCCACACCGTAGTGAAACAGATGCGTTGTTAATAATAGACATTAAGAAGCTATTTGCAGTGGACTTTAAAGGTGAAAAATCTCAAAAACAAATTAAAGTAAATAGTTAGCGAATGTGCTAACAAAGAAGTCAACGATGATGCACTGGAGCTACTCATGAGTCGTGATCTACTATGCCGAAGGCAGAGATAATATATCTTTTAATCATTTTCCACGTATTTCACAAGTAGAGGTGCTTTACTTACCTAAAGTTAGTTGTCCTCAATGAGTATTTTTGGAAAGAATTTGTATGTTATGCACTGTTTGGGGGGGTAATTATATATATGTACGTATATTGATTGATATAGGGAATGGTGAGCAGCTTGTAGTCGGGTTTTGTATGGTTTGTGTTGGGCGAGTAGTACAATTCTTTGTTTTGTTCTCTTGAAGCTTTGTAACTTACTCAAGTTCTAAATGTAATGCAAAGTTTTAATTTCAAAATATTAGAAAACTTGAGCTAGGCTTGAGGCATTATTTCATTAAACCCCATCATCATACGAGTTTTGCATCAAAATCTCATTGTTCAACCAGTACTTAGATCAGTTTCCTCCATATTAAGAAAGCATTAATGTTGTCTGAGATATGGTTTTTTTTTCTTTTGCGAAGTTCGGGTGTTAGTAAAGCAGAGAAGCAAATGCACCAAGTAGCAAGCAGAAACTATGTGAACTATCTACGACAGAAGGTTGAGCACATTGCACACTCACCCCAAAAGTAACTAAACCCGGACCTCTAGCATTTGGCCGCAGTCCTTCCACACTGTCATTTTCTGTAGGATCAGACCTGTAGAATTTCACATTAATATATGAAATAAGTATATTGCGGTGATGAAGTGTTAACAGAACAGCATACTAGATAATGTATTAGATCATTACTCAGCTAGTCAAAAGAGTTGAGAACAACTGTAGAGATATGCACTAACCACAACAAATCCATAAGGACAATTGAACCTGCTTCCATTGTAATTGGACGCTGAATATTCTCAATCTGCTCCACATGATTTATTGACCGACCGATACCACCATGCATACAAACTATCTTCTTTTCAATTAAAGCTGCTAGAGGAAGCCAGTTAAATAATCGATTAATCCTATGCCATGCCCAAATTCCATCCCTCTCTCCCTGTTCCATAAGAAATGAAATGAGTCACTATAACCAGTTTATATAATGGAACAAATATATATGGGTGTATACAATAATAATACCATCCGCTCGATACACTCAATCCGGAAGCCAAAAAGAGCATTAATATCTGCAGCTTCATGGTTCCCGCGAATCAAATGTACATTCTGCTGATACTCAACCTGCAGTAAGTGTATACAAAATCAGCCAATAAATGCACGGTATGTGACAGATTGGTATTCGACTAACATAAGCGACATCACTCAAGTACCTTTAAAGCAAGTAGGAGGGTAATAGTTTCAAGGCTGTGTTGACCTCTGTCAACATAATCTCCTAAGAAGAGATAATCGATATATCTGACAGTTGTTCATCAAGAGATATTACGAAAATAGATTGAAAAAAAGATAATTGAAGATTCATGTTTGTCTTTCATAAACCAAATATTCCAAACAATCCTTTACTTACGCAATATCTCCAGCAGTTGAAGGTGCACCATACTCATCAAAGAGTCGCATAAGGTCCCCAAATTGACCGTGTAGATCACCAAATATTTTTATTGGAGCTCTAAGCTGTAGAACGCTAGGTTCACTTGAAAATATTTTCTCAGCACTATCACAAAGATCGGCTATTTCATTGCAGTCTAAGAAAAATTGCCGGCGAACAGGAGGTTTCCAACCACGAGGCTTTAGAAGGTGTGCTATCACCTGAAAAAGATAAAAGAAGAAAGCATACTATATCAAACCAAAAGGATAACGGGAATCAAGAAAAAAATGCATAATGGAACATTGCAATTAAGTGAAAGTGTCATCTGATCTGCCTCCTTCTACTAAAGGCCAAAGGCAGCTTTGGGCATTTCTTGAAAGGAAACTTGGCATGGCCCTCAAGATAGTATAAAGCGTAAGCCATGGATTTAAATTAGAAAGACAAGGAGAAAATCATTATTGATTATGTAAAAGATACAAAAAGAGAGAGATCCCATCTATCAATTTCTAACTCGAGTTTTTTAAAGGTCATTCTTAGCATCGTTAAAAAAAATAAAAAAATAAAAAAAAGACTCCAGCGCCTTTTAAAATATTGCTTTAGATTGAAATCATAATATCCACACTGAAGACTAATATCTAAGAAGAAAATGGAAGAGAGTTAGGATTGTGCCAAAAAGAAAATGTTGTTGAGAGGACACAGAAACTAGTTATCTCTGGAGGGGGAAGCGATACCCATATGCTCAGGAATAAGTTGTTTTTTTTATTACCCATTCTGCATCATTCCAGAGAGCTCTAGCACTGTTTTAAGCAAACCAGAGAAAGTTGATAATCAAGAAGAATGTTTCATAAAAGGAAGGAGAGATAATTGACTTCAACTATCCAGTGGTGACCTGGCAAAGCCTATCAAGGAGAATGAGCGATTGACAACTAATTAAAATTCTGAAGGTTTTCTAAATTGTCTTGTGTTTAAGATAAAATAAAGAAACAAGTGGCACAAAAAATTCACATCTCAGAGCAGAATTCACCATAAACTTATAGCAAATATGCTTGGAGGATATTCAATGCCTCACTGGGGCTATAATGAACACTCAACACAGAACAATTCTGCATAACTTTAATAGGACCTAAATTATAATGAGCTGATCCTTGAATACCTTCTTGGGCACACTGTTGATGGACATCTGACGATCTAATAGTTTCCTTGCTGCAGTTGCATTCTCGGGAGTCCCATAGCTCACCCTCCGACCTTCATTTTCAAACTGATCAATTGAAAGTTGCCTCACCATGCCACCTAGAGCTCCACCAGTCTCAGCAGCAACCACCACCTAATGGTGAAAGGGTTAAAATATAGCACAGCATTTTTAGTTCACAACCACTTATACACACACACACATATATTGAAGTAATAATAATGAAGAACCCGCCAAACATCCAGAGTAGTAATTGTAAGATATACTAACAGCTCTATGATGCAGCCTAACTCCAGAAGGAGCAATGTTATTTGATCCAGTAGAATCAGGCTTTATCAAGCTAGAAATCTGTTTCCCACTTGGAGTAGCCTCAGCCCCTCGATCCCTATCAGGTAGTTCAACTTCCCCATTGACTTGCCTTGCCTTAGCTGCAGCAAATGTAGCACTGATAGCCTCAGCTTCTGCTGCTGATGCCTCAACCA